TACAACGAATTCGTTCGGTAACCGGAAGCCAATGCAGCCCGGCGAGCACAGGACGGACATGGTCGGATCTTGCAGCACCCGTCACGACACATGCCAGAGCATTTTGTACACGCTGCAGATTCATCTTCTTGGTTCTTTCGGTAAAGTCACGTAGAAGGGAAGTAATAAAATAATAAAAATAAAACATAATAAAATAATTCTCACGACGTTTCGGCCACAACACAAGCAGTCGTCCTCAGGTGAAGACCAGGTCTGTCGAGGCGACAGCGTCTAAAAGAAAACACCACCACGCTTGGAGCGTCTATTTAAGCTGGTTTGGAAGGGGGGGGGGGAAATTCGCATTGACAAAATAATCTGCATATCAAGAGGAATTAAATACAAGAACCAAGAAGATGAATCCCTGCAGTCACGCTGCAGATTGTTAAAGTTTTTGCCAGACGTCTCAAAAAGTAGTAATTTTCATTAATCGAGCCTGTAGATGTTACGCTACATGCCACCATGTTGGCTATGTCACGACTCAATTGTAGTCGAATGTGTTGCAGAGCCCTGATATGAAAATTGCAGGACTCGCCTACATTTTGCACGTGGTGATCAAACGACATTCTGGTCGAGTATGATGCCAAGGCTCTTGTGATGAATAATACACTGAATCCTGGAATCTGTGACCACCACAACTGATCCTCCCACGAATGTTTTCGCCTTGGCCTGAGTGCCAATCATCAGAACCTCCGCATTTCATTTTGTGCAAACCACACTTGCACCGCTTGCATGCAATCTTCGAGGTCGCCGAGGCTCTGCATGTCTAACTTTGACTTCACTGCATTGAACAATTGTGTATCATAAGCATATTGATGTAACTTGATGTTCTGTGATGAGATGACATCAACGATCGGAGTATGTTGGAAATAGGAATGGTCCGAGGACGGACCCCTGCGATACGCCGACTCGGCATGGCATCGGCGATGGCTGTTCATCACCCAGCTTGACGAACTGTGATCGACCATGTAGCCATGACTCAATCAACCTCAATTCCATAACCGATGCACCAAACCTTGACCTTAACTGCCTGATCAATATTTCATAGTCGATGGTGTCGAAGGCAGCTGAGAGATCGAGGCCAGCCAATGCTGCTGCGCACCGGTCATTCGTGATCTAAGAGACGTTATCAGTGATCGTTAGTAGAGCCGTCTCAATGCTGTGGGACTTCCGGTACGCCAACTGCAACAGCTTGAATCTGCTCGTCGCAGCGACATGGGGAAGTAATTGCTTCAGACACAGGAGCTCTATGACCTTTAAACTCACACTCAGGTTTCAGATCGGGCGATAGTTTTGCAGTCACTGTGGCTCAAGCCAACTTTTTCAGGAGCGGTGTTACTTGCGCCATTTAGAACTGGTCTGTGAAACAGCCCCTCGCTGAACGAAAGTTTTGCCAGATGAACAACCAGCGGCACAAGCACGATTTGAGAATCGACGTGTGGATGTAGTCGAGCGGCGATGTCCGATTTGGCAGCGGTGCGATGAACATCGACACCTCTGCCACCAACGTTAGTGCCAGGGTCTTGCATTGGTTCCAGGTTGATGAAACTCTGATGGCAGATGGGGAGAATGAGTTGCATTCAAGTTATAAACTGCCGTATTGATCGTCATCATTTTATTGGCGAAGAACGTCACAAGTACTGTGCAGACCGGGTTGACGAGTTGATGGGTGGTTGGAGTGCAGCAGACCCTTCACGACGCACCACAGAGCAGAGCACAGAACTCAATAATAACACTACGTAACACAATTTTAGTTCATGGCTACTAAGTGTTATTTCGTAATTGCTTATGCCTAAAAAGTATAGAAAATGGCGATTATTCCCCACAAACTTTACTTGTGACCAGGCCAGTGCTATTTTGAAATGTATCTACTTTCAATGAGAAAACAGGCGAATTTGTGTCTTTTCGTTCACAAAGTCAGAAAAAAACATTTGAATCTAAATTAATATGTATTTATACTAAAGGAAATAGATGTATAAATAACTCGTCCAGGAATACAGAATCTTGACAAGATTTGGAATTGATTAACTATGCCTTGGTTTGTTATGCACTATTGACGCACTCCACACAAGGACACGAACCAACTGGCGGATAATAAGTTCTCAACAACCAAGCACAGCCAACTCTTCAAAATCCCAAACATCTCCACAGCACCCCCGCGCGTCGACAAAGGCAGACGACCGAGGACACACAACTCAGAGCTCTCGGCAACATTCACAGCGCACATGAGCACAGCGCCCACTCTCGTCAACAATCACAGAACATCGTGGCGACAAAACAGATGCAGGAAAACGCGACGACTGTTCGTACCAACCCCTTATGCACGATCCACTCTTGGGTGATGAAACAACGCAGCAGAAGTCCAGGGTACACAACGGCAGTGTCAGGACTTGGCTGACGTCTTCAACAGCGCCCTGAGCAACTAAACACAGTTGCAGTATCAGGACTTGGTTGGCCTCTCCAACAAACCCCTGAACAACTCGACACGGCTGCTGTCTTGGTCACGGAGTCTGCGTTCTCGATAGCTTTCTGAGAGACTCCACGTGCCTACAGTCTCGGGGGACTTGGCTGGCGCCTCCAACCGCACGTTGAACAACTCAACGCAGTGACTCCACACGGTGACAGTCTTGAGACTTGGCTGGCGTCTTCAAGAGCGCCCCGACCAACACAACGTAGCTGCAGACTTGGTCACCGAGCCGCCCGCCCTGCAGTAGCAGCCGGTCTTCTCCAGCAGGAGTCCTGATAGCGGCGAGCATCGATTTTGCGTCCTTCCCTGGGCGAACGCCGACTGCGCTGGCGAATGCCAAATACACTGCGGACCACAACCTCTGGCCCCGGCGAACCCCGGCCACCCCACCGCCTCGGACACACCTGCCACCAATGACGCATTGCCCCATCGACTGCTCCCTCACCACATGCCACCTGGCCTGTCATGAGAGGCCACTTTGTGTCCTGCCCCCAATTAAGGCCAGACTGAGTGGCGCAGTTGCTTCCAAAGGTGGGTGTTGTTAGGGAATTTCCACCCCCGCACTCCCCTTACCTCATGTAACCTCAGCCACCTCGGCTCACCCCGGCACGACAGTGCTTGCCCACACCGTTGCAGCAGCGTGCATTTAGCGAAGCTGCCCTGGACCCTTCATCTCGTGGATCTCATCACTCGGGACTACCCTGGGCCTTTTCCCTCCTCTCCCCCCACACTCCAGGCCCTCCGCTCGGTCAAGCTCCCACGAGGGCCCTCCCTCGGTGCGCCTGCTGTGTCCGCAAACATGCACAGAGGATCTGTAACATCGTTATGGTCCTTTTTGGGGGGTTTCTGGTAATTAAATGGGGTTTGTATGTCAACAGGAATTCAACATGCGTATTGTTAAACAAATTAGTTTTCTTTAAAGCAATTTTCCCTTTGGAATCTGGAAGCTGCAGTTATCACACACGAGATTCGGGCCCTTTAATGATTTTACACTTATCTTAACGTAATTTATATAGCACCTTAACAGAGGGGAGTATAACCAACCTCAGTTTAACACATATGCCTACTGAACTGGTAACAAATTGGCATGCTTTGTTTACGTGACAACCCTTACTAAATGGCTGTGTCGGGTGGTAGCGGGTTTAACAACACGTTTATATTTACACGCTCTCAGCCAAAAAACCTCTATTATGGATATAACCAACCCCATGAGGGGAAACCTGGGGGATGAGTGGTGGAGGGTTCTCAACGAAATTATTTTAACCGAACACCAAAAATCGATTCGTGAACCGAGCTCGACTCGGCTGCTGATGAGGCCCAATAAAGTTGAACCCCGGTCAGTGTGCCGGAGAGAACGCACGATGCCTGCCTGCCTTGCCTGCCTCGCTGGGGGACAATGCTGGTGTAGAGGGGGCGAGTGAGAATGGCGTTGCTCGTGGAGGCACAGTCCCACTCAGCCCCCCCCCCCCCCTCCCCCATACGAATGTATTCCCGAGAGGGAGAGTCGCTCATCCCCTCGGGGGACAAACCCCGCAGACCCCCCCCTCCCCCACACGAATGTATTCCCGAGAGGGAGAGTCGCTCATCCCCTTGGGGGACAAACCCCGCAGATCACCCCCCCCCCCCCCCCACACGAATGTATTCCCGAGAGGGAGAGTCGCTCATCCCCTCGGGGGACAAACCCCGCAGACTGCACCCCCACCGACCCGTTCTCTGAACCCGTAGCCGTTGGGACATCGGTTCAATAAAAGTCGTAGTAGTAGTAATAATAAAACAGATGGCGCCTAGGGGACTGCCCAGCGGCAGCCCCGCCCCCTTTCTCCTCGCGCCTCATCGCAGGCTGCGTCCAGGCCGATTCCGCTGCTTTGTCTCCCCTACAGGTGTGGGGGCGGCGTCTTTTTGAGGTGCTGCGGCGGCTAGGAGATGTCATCTCCCTCGCCGGGTAAGCGGCAGTTTGTGGGTTCGATCTCAACCCTGACGATGCATGTTTGTATACTTGGAGTATGCGTATCTCTCTCCCCATGGTCGCGTAGCAAGGAAATGTTTTATCCCTCGTTGGGTATGCAGGAGCTCGTCGGCTTGATCCCAACCCCGATGATGCCTCTGTATATTTGGAGTCTCCCACGTGTTCTATCTCTCTCCCCGTGGTGATCGCGCTTTAAAGTAATTGGCTGCTGGTATAAATTCCCACTTGATGAGAAGCCACTTCGTTGAGCGATCATTTGTGGCCAGATCGCTTCTGAAAAAGAGCTACACAGCTCAGTGGGCCTTACCTGGTAAATATATTTTTAATAGTTTTAGTTTACAGGAGACCGTGGGTTCGATCCCAACCCTGCCATCTGCTGTATATTTGGAATTTGCGCGTCTCTCTCTCCGTGGTCGCCTGGATTTTTGTCCGGGTCCTCTGGTTTTTCCCTTCCACGTTTAGAATCAATGTCATGCGTTTAAGAGTATTTGGCTGCTATACATTTCCACATGATGATGATGATAAGCAGAATCAGAATATGAATATTTATTTATACTGGAGGAATCCGATGAGATATACAGTTGTTATTTTTTGTACAGATATATCCAGTAGTCAGGTAGAAACGTTACAACAATACAAAAATACGATAGGAGTGCAACGTATATGACCGGTACTGAAATTGCTTTAAAAATATACATAAGCAGCCTAGCCACAAATGATAGCTCAACAAAGTGGCTAGTCACGCAGACATTTACAGCAGCAAAATTATCTAAATCAAAATGCATGTTTCTAAATGCACACCGACACCAAGGGTCGGGATCGAACCCCCGACCTTCTGCATACCAGACGAGGAAGCTAATATCACACCGCCGCGGCGCCCTTTTAATAAATGAATAAAGTATATATAATAAAGTTTATATAATAAAGTATATAAGTTCAAATTGCATTGGTACATTAATTCACAACCTTGGGAAAGGCAATAAAACAACAACAAAAACAGTCCTAGACCAACCAAGACACACCACAGTCCCAGACCACACCAAAACAACAGAGTAGTCCCTCCATAAAATTGTACATTAAATTCAAACTATCAATTACATTGTTAAGAATCATTTGTGGCCAGGTCGCTTTTGAAAAATGAGCTACATAGCTCAGTGGGCTTAGTTTGAGTTTTAGTTTAGTCTGTGCGTCTCTGTGTGGTGAGTCTATGGGTCTCTGTGTGGTGAGTCTATGGGTCTCTGTGTGGTGAGTCTGTGGGTCTCTGTGTGATGAGTCTATGGGTTTCTGTGTGGTGACTCTATGGGTTTCTGTGTGGTGACTCTATGGGTTTCTGTGTGGTGAGTCTAATCGTCTCTGTGTTGTGTGTCTATGGGTCTCTGTGTGGTGAGTCTATGGGTTTCTGTGTGGTGAGTTTAGCTTACGTGGCTGCTAGTATACATTCCTACACGCGATAATCCACTACGTTGAGCGATCATTCGTGATAGCCAAGTCACTTCTGAAAAAGAGCTACATAGCTCAGTGGGCCTTACCTGGTAGAATAAAAAAGATAGTTTAGTTTTCGTCATCATCGTGATCCATGGGCAGATAGCCCCTCCGTGTCCACTGCTCATTTCGTCATTCATTTCCACTTTCTTCTCTATCTTATAGTGCCATTATGCTCAAGTAGTGCCACATCTTTCTGGCACCAATCTCTTACGATGTCGTCGTCAAGCCATTCTCTGTTCAGTCTTCCTCTCTTTCTGGTTTCTTCAATTTCTCCGAAAAACACACAGCACCACGGTGGCTAGGAGATGTTAACTACCTCGCTGGTATACAGAAGGTCGTGGGTTAAATCCCAACCCTGACACCCGCTGTAAATTTGGAGTTTGCATGTCTATCTCTCTCCCTGCGGTTGCGTGGATTTTTCTCTGGTTCCTCCGGTTTTTCCCTCCATTCCTAGAATCAGCATTACATGTTTAGAGAATTTGGCTGCTATAAATGTCCACGAGATGATAAGCCACTTCGTGGAGTTATCATTTGTGACAGCCAGGTCACTGCTGAAAAAGAGCTACATTAGCTCAGTGGGACCTTACCGGGTAAAAAATAAATAGTAAATAGTACTTCGTTTTAGTTGTCTCAAATCGGCATCACTCCCTCCGGAAGTCCTCCTCCTCCTCCCCCTCCTCCCCCTCCTCCCGCTTCACCACTGTGCCCAGGGCTGTGTGCACCGCCAGGCCGCCGGCTCGCGCGGCCGCCAGCACGGGCAGCAGGTGCCAGCGGGCGGGCGCCAGCGCGTGGGCCAGCGCCAGGGGGCCGTCGCGCACGCGGCGCACCAGGTGGGCGGCGCCGGCGCAGCGCAGCTCCCGGCCCACGTCGTGGACGCAGCGGCGCAGCGCCAGCTGAGAGCCCTGGGGCGTGCACTGCACCTCTACGCACACGCGCAGACACGCACGCGCAGAGAGACACTCACACACTGCACCTCTACGCACACGCGCAGACACGCACACGCAGAGAGACACTTACACACTGCACCTCTATGCACACGCGCAGACACGCACGCGCAGAGAGACACTCACACACTGCACCTCTACGCACACGCGCAGACACGCACGCGCAGAGAGACACTCACACACTGCACCTCTACGCACACGCGCAGACACGCACGCGCAGAGAGACACTCACACACTGCACCTCTACGCACACGCGCAGACACGCACGCGCAGAGAGACACTTACACACTGCACCTCTACGCACACGCGCAGACACGCACGCGCAGAGACACTCACACACTGCACCTCTACGCACACGCGCAGACACGCACGCGCAGAGAGACACTCACACACTGCACCTCTACGCACACGCGCAGACACGCACGCGCAGAGAGACACTCACACACTGCACCTCTACACACACGCGCAGACACGCACGCGCAGAGAGACACTCACACACTGCACCTCTACGCACACGCGCAGACACGCATGCGCAGAGAGACACTCACACACTGCACCTCTACGCACACGCGCAGACACGCACGCGCAGAGAGACACTCACACACTGCACCTCTACGCACACGCGCAGACACGCACGCGCAGAGAGACACTCACACACTGCACCTCTACGCACACGCGCAGACACGCACGCGCAGAGAGACACTCACACACTGCACCTCTACGCACACGCGCAGACACGCACGCGCAGAGAGACACTCACACACTGCACCTCTACGCACACGCGCAGACACGCACGCGCAGAGAGACACTCACACACTGCACCTCTACGCGCACGCGCAGACACGCATGCGCAGAGAGACACTAACACACTACACCTCTACGCACACGCGCAGAGACACTCACACACTGCACCTCTACGCACACGCGCAGACACGCACGCGCAAAGAGACACTCACACACTGCACCTCTACGCACACGCGCAGACACGCACGCGCAGAGAGACACTCACACACTGCACCTCTACGCACACGCGCAGACACGCACGCGCAGAGAGACACTCACACACTGCACCTCTACGCACACGCGCAGACACGCACGCGCAGAGAGACACTCACACACTGCACCTCTACGCACATGCGCAGACACGCACGCGCAGAGAGACACTTACACACTGCACCTCTACGCACACGCGCAGACACGCACGCGCAGAGACACTCACACACTGCACCTCTACGCACACGCGCAGACACGCATGCGCAGAAAGACACTCACACACTGCACCTCTACGCACACGCGCAGACACGCACGCACAGAGAGACACTCACACACTGCACCTCTACGCACACGCGCAGACACGCACGCGCAGAGAGACACTCACACACTGCACCTCTACGCACACGCGCAGACACGCACGCGCAGAGAGACACTCACACACCGCACCTCTACGCACACGCGCAGACACGCACGCACAGAGAGACACTCACACACTGCACCTCTACGCACACGCGCAGACACGCACGCGCAGAGAGACACTCACACACTGCACCTCTACGCACACGCGCAGACACGCACGCGCAGAGAGACACTCACACACTGCACCTCTACGCACACGCGCAGACACGCACGCACAGAGAGACACTCACACACTGCACCTCTACGCACACGCGCAGACACGCAGGCACAGAGAGACACTCACACACTGCACCTCTACGCACACGCGCAGACACGCACGCGCAGAGAGACACTCACACACTGCACCTCTACGCACACGCGCAGACACGCACGCACAGAGAGACACTCACACACTGCACCTCTACGCACACGCGCAGACACGCACGCACAGAGAGACACTCACACACTGCACCTCTACGCACACGCGCAGACACGCACGCGCAGAGAGACACTCACACACTGCACCTCTACGCACACGCGCAGACACGCACGCACAGAGAGACACTCACACACTGCACCTCTACGCACACGCGCAGACACGCACGCACAGAGAGACACTCACACACTGCACCTCTACGCACAGGCGCAGACACGCACGCACAGAGAGACACTCACACACTGCACCTCTACGCATGCACACGGACACGCACGCACAGAGAGACACTCACACACTGCACCTCTACGCACACGCGCAGACACGCACGCGCAGAGAGACACTCACACACTGCACCTCTACGCATGCACACGGACACGCACGCACAGAGAGACACTCACACACTGCACCTCTACGCACACGCGCAGACACGCACGCACAGAGAGACACTCACACACTGCACCTCTACGCACACGCGCAGACACGCACGCGCAGAGAGACACTCACACACTGCACCTCTACGCACACGCGCAGACACGCACGCACAGAGAGACACTCACACACTGCACCTCTACGCATGCACACGCAGACACGCACGCGCAGAGAGACACTCACACACTGCACCTCTACGCACACGCGCAGACACGCACGCACAGAGAGACACTCACACACTGCACCTCTACGCATGCACACGCAGACACGCACGCGCAGAGAGACACTCACACACTGCACCTCTACGCACACGCGCAGACACGCACGCACAGAGAGACACTCACACACTGCACCTCTACGCACACGCGCAGACACGCACGCGCAGAGAGACACTCACACACTGCACCTCTACGCATGCACACGGACACGCACGCACAGAGAGACACTCACACACTGCACCTCTACGCACACGCGCAGACACGCACGCGCAGAGAGACACTCACACACTGCACCTCTACGCATGCACACGGACACGCACGCACAGAGAGACACTCACACACTGCACCTCTACGCACACGCGCAGACACGCACGCACAGAGAGACACTCACACACTGCACCTCTACGCACACGCGCAGACACGCACGCGCAGAGAGACACTCACACACTGCACCTCTACGCACACGCGCAGACACGCACGCACAGAGAGACACTCACACACTGCACCTCTACGCATGCACACGCAGACACGCACGCGCAGAGAGACACTCACACACTGCACCTCTACGCACACGCGCAGACACGCACGCACAGAGAGACACTCACACACTGCACCTCTACGCATGCACACGCAGACACGCACGCGCAGAGAGACACTCACACACTGCACCTCTACGCACACGCGCAGACACGCACGCACAGAGAGACACTCACACACTGCACCTCTACGCACACGCGCAGACACGCACGCACAGAGAGACACTCACACACTGCACCTCTACGCACACGCGCAGACACGCACGCACAGAGAGACACTCACACACTGCACCTCTACGCATGCACACGGACACGCACGCACAGAGAGACACTCACACACTGCACCTCTACGCACACGCGCAGACACGCACGCGCAGAGAGACACTCACACACTGCACCTCTACGCATGCACACGGACACGCACGCACAGAGAGACACTCACACACTGCACCTCTACGCACACGCGCAGACACGCACGCACAGAGAGACACTCACACACTGCACCTCTACGCACACGCGCAGACACGCACGCGCAGAGAGACACTCACACACTGCACCTCTACGCACACGCGCAGACACGCACGCACAGAGAGACACTCACACACTGCACCTCTACGCATGCACACGCAGACACGCACGCGCAGAGAGACACTCACACACTGCACCTCTACGCACACGCGCAGACACGCACGCACAGAGAGACACTCACACACTGCACCTCTACGCATGCACACGCAGACACGCACGCGCAGAGAGACACTCACACACTGCACCTCTACGCACACGCGCAGACACGCACGCGCAGAGAGACACTCACACACTGCACCTCTACGCATGCACACAGACACGCACGCACAGAGAGACACTCACACACTGCACCTCTACGCATGCACACAGACACGCACGCACAGAGAGACACTCACACACTGCACCTCTACGCATGCACACAGACACGCACGCACAGAGAGACACTCACACACTGCACCTCTACGCACACGCGCAGACACGCACGCACAGAGAGACACTCACACACTGCACCTCTACGCACACGGACACGCACGCACAGAGAGACACTCACACACTGCACCTCTACGCACACGCGCAGACACGCACGCACAGAGAGACACTCACACACTGCACCTCTACGCACACGCGCAGACACGCACGCGCAGAGAGACACTCACACACTGCACCTCTACGCACACGCGCAGACACGCACGCACAGAGAGACACTCACACACTGCACCTCTACGCACACGCGCAGACACGCACGCACAGAGAGACACTCACACACTGCACCTCTACGCACACGCGCAGACACGCACGCGCAGAGAGACACTCACACACTGCACCTCTACGCACACGCGCAGACACGCACGCGCAGAGAGACACTCACACACTGCACCTCTACGCGTGCACACAGACACGCACGCGCAGAGAGACACTCACACACTGCACCTCTACGCGTGCACACAGACACGCACGCGCAGAGAGACACTCACACACTGCACCTCTACGCGTGCACACGGACACTAAGATCCACATGTAGCCTTGGCAGAGTGTTGGGGGCAAATGCTCTTAACCCCTCCCATGTGAGTAGTGGTACAGTCCCATTAGTAGTGGTGGAGTTTGTTAACCCCTCCCATGTGAGTAGTGGTACAGTCCCATTAGTAGTGGTGGAGTTTGTTAACCCCTCCCATGTGAGTAGTGGTACAGTCCCATTAGTAGTGGTGGAGTTTGTTAACCCCTCCCATGTGAGTAGTGGTACAGTCCCATTAGTAGTGGTGGAGTTTGTTAACCCCTCCCATGTGAGTAGTGGTACAGTCCCATTAGTAGTGGTGGAGTTTGTTAACCCCTCCCATGTGAGTAGTGGTACAGTCCCATTAGTAGTGGTGGAGTTTGTTAACCCCTCCCATGTGAGTAGTGGTACAGTCCCATTAGTAGTGGTGGAGTTTGTTAACCCCTCCCATGTGAGTAGTGGTACAGTCCCATTAGTAGTGGTGGAGTTTGTTAACCCCTCCCATGTGAGTAGTGGTACAGTCCCATTAGTAGTGGTGGAGTTTGTTAACCCCTCCCATGTGAGTAGTGGTACAGTCCCATTAGTAGTGGTGGAGTTTGTTAACCCCTCCCATGTGAGTAGTGGTACAGTCCCATTAGTAGTGGTGGAGTTTGTTAACCCCTCCCATGTGAGTAGTGGTACAGTCCCATTAGTAGTGGTGGAGTTTGTTAACCCCTCCCATGTGAGTAGTGGTACAGTCCCATTAGTAGTGGTGGAGTTTGTTAACCCCTCCCATGTGAGTAGTGGTACAGTCCCATTAGTAGTGGTGGAGTTTGTTAACCCCTCCCATGTGAGTAGTGGTACAGTCCCATTAGTAGTGGTGGAGTTTGTTAACCCCTCCCATGTGAGTAGTGGTACAGTCCCATTAGTAGTGGTGGAGTTTGTTAAGCCCCCCATGAGTATTGGTAGTCCCATTAGTAGTGGTGGAGTTTTTTAACCCCTCCCAATGTGAGTAGTGGTACAGTCCCATTAGTAGTGGTGGAGTTGGTGTTAAGCCCCCACTGGATGGGAGAGCCCAACCGAGCGTGAAGGCGGGGGGGTTGAAGTCAGCGAGCCGCACGGCGGTGATGAGGGCCGGCGTCTTGTGCCGTGATGGGAGGAGGCAGCCAGAAACGGCGCGCAGGTATCCCTCGTGGCTCCCCACGTCCACGTCAGAGTGCCTGCACACACACGTGACACACACGTGACACACACGTGACACACACGTGACACACACGACAAATCCCCCGGGTAGCCTTAACAGACAGTCGGGGCAAATGCTGTTAGCGAGTAGCACCTATGAAGGTCCCGGGACACCATACGAAAAGGGGGTGGGTGGCCTGTACCACGCCCGGCCGCCTTTGTCTCTCCAGTGGCAATGCTGACTACATACCGCACCGAGTACTCATTTGTGTGTGTGAGTGCGTGTGTGCGTGCGTGAGTGCGTGCGTGCGTGAGTGCGTGTCTCACAGGAGTAGAGCCTTCTGGGCAGCGCCGTGCATCATCGCGACGGCTCTCTCCATCAGATCCCTCGTCACGTGCTCTGTGCGGAACACCACGGTGAACACCCCATGGTGAACAACCCATAGTGAACACCCCATGGTGAACACCACAGTGACCACATGGCATAGCACACACTGCACCACAGCATAGAGAACAGAGTATAAGTTACACAACCAACAACAATCGACGTTCACCACGAAGCGGCAATGACATCATCACGGTGCTTGTGCAAGGCGAGGTGCATTGAGGCCACGTGAAGTGTCGAAGGCCCGCTGGCAGGTCACAGGAAAGACCCAGGGTGGTGCCATGGGTTGACTGAGATGACTGGCAGATGCACCACCTGTGCTCCCTTCTGTAGCAACTTGCTATGTTTTAGTCATCCTGCAATCCGCTCGTTGTTGTGAGCGTCGCTCCTCTGCCCTCCGTTGTTGCTGCAGGGTGTCTGCTTCCAACTGCCCAGGAGCATCCTTCATGAGCCTCCGACACAGAGGTCAATCTTGATACCGCTGGTACCAGTCAACAGCAAATCCACTCGGCTCCATATTCTCTCGTACCACATTATTCCATCTCTTATCTAATCTGTGCCGTGCCCGTTTAGCCTCCTCTATCTGGCCAAACAAAAGCTGTTACGCTGTTTGGGAATTCGGTGGTTGGGCATGCAGGCTACATGGCCCTGCCAACGCAGCCTCACTTGGTTGGAGGAGCTCACTGATGAGTCCAGATCTTTCAGGGATCCGTGAGCTCCTCACACAATCCAGCCTGGTTAATCCCAGGATGGATCATCGGCAGGCCAGCATAAATGTTTTAAACCGGCGCAAATGTTCCACCAGAGGGGTCCACGTTTCACAAGCACAGAGAAGGGAGGGCATGACTGTGGCCAAGAAGACCTAAGGCTTTGTGTGGAGCAACAGACCAGGTCACTTCCACACAGCGTTATGCAGCCGATGAAAATATATTGCCGCTCGACTGATTGGGAGCGATGCCTTTGCTGACAAACTAGTGTTGGTCAGAAGCACACTGCCCAACTATGGAAACTTCCCCATTCCCTCTACAACTGCCCCATTACTCGTGCCAAGTAGAGAGAGGGGAATATTCCATGATATAAAATATCCAGGCAAGTGCTTAGTTTTGGATATGTATGTTGAACTTCTTTCACACTGTATGTAGCCAACCATCCTAATCGGAGGTGCGGGGGAGGAACAAACTAAACGCACACAAAAAAATAAAGCAGTGATGTAAGTCCCCCGTTTAAATTCCCTACGCCTCTGTTGTAAGAGACTAACAGAGAACGTGGTGTCTGTGCAGGACCGCCCCAGTCTAAAACCACAACGGAGCTTTGCAAGCCTCTCCCCTAAGCGTGCCTGGCAAAGTGGTTGGGCTAATGGTAAGGCGCGCCATCTCTCAGTAGCATGCTCCAGGTTCAGCAGTAGAGTCTATAACTCCTCAGAGTGGGTAGTAATTACCAGATAATCTGCAGGCATGGTTGATCGATAGGTGGCACTTCCTTGATTGCACCCGGGCATTGATCAGCCTCTCGTTGTATCTGTACCTGATGGAAATTCCTCTGGTACAGCTGTAGAAAGCATCACAAACTACGTTGTCAAAAAATGTTAAATAGTGTAAGGGCCAGAAGACATCCCCTGGGCCTATCCACCATCAAGGGGCACCACGGTGGTGAGATGTTAACTACCTCACCTGGTATACAGGTGGTCGTGGTTCAATTCTGACCTATATATTTGGAATTAGCATGTCTCTCTCCTCGTGACCGCATGGATTTTCTCCGAGTTCTCTGGTTTTCCCCTCCACATTTAGAATCAACATCACGCATTTAGAGTATGTGGCTGCTTTAAATTCCCACATGATGATAAGACACTTCGTTGAGCTATCGTTTGTGATTGCCAGATTGCTTCTGAAAAATAACTATATAGCTCAGTGGGGCCTTACCTGGTAAAATAAAAGTATTCTTGGTTCTTTCAGAACCAAGAATATGAATCCCTGCAGTCACGAAAGCTTTAAATAAAAAATAAAAGTAGTTTAGTTTTAGCATAGTGCAGCCTTTAGCGTGCTGCGTTGTGAACCCCGTGACCTGATTTGATCCCGTTCACGGCTAACACAAGTGATGAATGTCTGAATCGGTCCTGGGCCTTCTCTAGGTCGACTCAGCCTCAAATGAGTACCTAGTCAGCCCCGCCCTCATGTGCCGTGCAGGCCTTCATAGGTGCCCATTCCTCTGGTAGCCCCGCCCACCACTCTGATATGTATGGATATGTATGTTGAACTTCTTTCACACTGTATGTAGCCAACCATCCTAATCGAGGGTGCGGGGGAGGAACAAACTAAACGCACACAAAAAAATAAAGCAGTGATGTAAGTCCCCCGTTTAAATTCCCTACGCCTCTGTTGTAAGAGACTAACAGAGAATATGGTGTCTGTGCAGGACCGCCCCAGTCTAAAACCAGCGTGCCTGGCAAAGTGAAGTTTTTTCATTCTTGCCCGGACCTTTTCTGACACGCTGAGGAGTGAAATTGCTGGTAGTTGTTACCATCAGTAGTCACCCTTCTTCAAGAGGGGGACCACCAGGTCATCCTTACAATCCTACGGAAACCCGTCCTGTGGTCCAGACGGTTGTGATGAAGTCATATCGGGCAGTCTGCACACAGATGCCACCCTGCGCCAGCAGTTTGCTTCAGAGATCGTCTCTACCCGGCGCTTCACCTGGTTTCAAGCTCCAGATTGCCTGTCGCACTTCTTCAAAAGACGGAATGAGCGTCAAACCACTCGGAAGGATTGGCTACTTCTTTCAATATTTTGAGGAACTCCATCTCCAGCAGGGTGATCCCCACCTTGCCCCATGATGATCTTTGAGCTGAGGGGTTTTCCCCTCCACAGAAATACTCAGCAAAATTGTGCGAAACCTATTCTCGTGGGTTCGAAGACCGGATCACCGTTTTTTTTCCCTTCAGGATGTTATTAGGCATGGCGCTTCAAGGTATTTGTGATCGCGTGCTACCGACGCAGTTTCCATTTTCTCAGCAACCTGCGACCACCACTCATCCTTGCAACACCCCACAGCTTTCCAAACTCTGATGTTGGATATTGTAGACGACGGGAGTGGACCTGTCGCTTTTTCTCAACCATCCAGAACACCTACTCCATCAGCCAGGGTCTCTCAGGAGGTTTGGACCGTATCCCCAATGCAGCCATTGCAGCTGCATGAACCACAATCCTAAACCTCGCCCATTTTCCCTCAACATCAGGAGTGGGGGCGATGCCAACCCCAGTCACAAGCGATGATGAAATGCTCGTTTACAACTTTCATCAGCTAGATGAGACCAGGCCCACTGTGGGTTTGAATGGGGTCCCAGATGAATGATTGCCACCACAGTGAAGACATGGCAGGAGCATCTTACAGATGACAAGCCGATGGTCAATAGGCAGATCAGCTCCACAGTAGGTCCGGGTGTCAAGGACATAGGCCCGCATTTGCTGTTCTGTCACTATATAGTCCATCAGATGTTCTTGCTTGGACCCAGCATGCATCCATGATCAGAATTAGAATCTCTATTACGACTGCAGCAATTAAATGAGCGATGAATCTCTTTTTCACAGATGTTGAAACAGCTTGCTGGTGATTATAAGCTCATGGGCTTAACAGGAATCGAGCAGCCTCGTACCATAATTATTGAGCTGATCTGGACCATGCTTTCAATCACTCTGGCTCTGGTGTCTGTGTTAGGACCCACTCGGACATTAAAGTCACCCAATAGGATGACAGGAGGCACTTTAGCTGGCACCTGGGGCCATAGAAGGAATCTGACTCATCAGCCTTGTCTACATCCCTCCACTTATGATAATCTTCTGTGGGTGCATAAGCAGCCACCGCCATTAACACCATTTCTCACCTTCCGTTGATGTGGAGGCAAGTCCACAACCACATGGGCACTCACACACATTCTCAAACGTTGCCTCCATGCTCCCTTCAATTCTTTTGTTTTGGAAGAAGAGCCACTCCCTGTTGTTTGGCAGTTTCCTGCCCCGAATGGAGGATGAACAGTCCTCCATTGTGAGAGAATCAGTCCATCAGACCCTCCTGTATATCACAGCGGTCCAAGCGGTTACTAGTCCATCTCCGGACAGAGGAATGGAAGCCTCTCCTCCGAAGCGAGCATTCGAACATTCCACGTGGCCACTCGCAGCGGTTTCTTTGCCATTTCTGGAGGAACTCCGAGGGTGTGGGTTCAGCCTCCTGGCTCCGACAAATGGGGTTTGGCCAGGAAACGTCAAAACGCCTGTCCCCCCGAGGCCTCCGGCACAAGCTTAGTTTGGCATCTTATTCGTGTTTTTTTCATGAATTTAGTTGAAGGTAGAGGAGTTACAAGCCTCTTGTACCCATCCAGAGCCCCCGTTGACCACTGTGGGGGCTACAAGCGCCATGAGGGAGTTATAGACGCCCATCCCCCCCTGGGGTCTCTGACACAAGATTATTTTTATATTTCATTAATGGTTTAGTGGTAAATTAATTTAATGTGGAGGGATTACCAGACGCTCACACCCACCCAGAGCCCCCACTGGCCGCTGTGGGACCAGCTGATTGGAATTGGCCCTCCCCACATGGTACATCCACCACAGCGTTACTGTCTAGCACCACTGTGAAGGTATAGGGGGTTGTTTTTGCTGGCATAACCACGACACGCAACACAACCACCGCACATGACATAACCACGACATGCGGCATAACCACCGTACACAACATAACCACGACACACGGCATAGCCACCACACGGCATAACCACTGATGATGATGTATTAGGCCTTCATCCAGCAGTGGATTGACCATGCCTGAATGAGGATGATGAAGATGATGTGTCTGGCCTTATGGAACCTTTATCAGAATCTCTATTTAGACTGGAGAAATCTGATGAGCTCTTAAGCTATTTTTCTTCAGGTGGGTTTTAGGGGCGAGGGGTCGTTATACCGTAGGTCACCGTCTCGATGACCCGGCCCTGGGTGGAGAAGTCCTCAGTGGCGATGCCCAGACGGCCGTGCAAGGTGTAGGCCTGCAGCATCACCACCCGTGTCACAGCCAGTGTCACAACCCACGTCACCACCCACAACAGAGACAAAGATCCCCCGTGTAGCCTTAACAGACTGTTGGGGCAAAGTGCTGTTGGCGAGCACCTATGAAGGCCAGTATAGCACACGAAGGGGTGGGTGGCCAACACCATGCCTGACCACCTTTGTCTCCATAGTGGCGATGTTTACACATGACACCAGTTACTCATTTGAGGCCAAGTCGACCTAGGGGAGGCCCAGAATTGGTTCAGATAATCGTCACTGGTGTTGGCCGAGAGAGGGAATCGAACTCGGGTCGCTGGGTTCGTAGTGCAGCGCGTCAACCACTACATCACCGTTCTCCCACACAACCCACAACACAACCTGCGTCACAACCCACACCAACAACAACAGCTGCCGTTTGCCACTAAGTGGCGGCGACGTCACTACGACACTTGTGCCAGGCCAGATGCACTCTGAGGCCACGTGAAGTGTGGAAGGTCTGCTGGCAGGAGGTCGCGGAACAGACCCAGGTGCCATGGGTTGATGACTGGCAGATGCACCAGCTAACCAACAAAGGAGCATTGCGACAAACGTGCAACCTCTTGCGGCAGCATTCACATAAACTGCTCTTGGCTGCCACTACTCGTAGTACTAGAAGTAGGTTCTACTCCGAGAGATGGGACTGTCCCCCACGTTACGACGGTGGATCGTCACGTGGGACAGACCCTCAACAGAAGATGCTCGGTCACCCATTGCGCATCTGTAGTATACTAAAAGTAAGTGTATATTTCTGATATATTACCTTGTCTGTTGTACTACATGTATTGTTGTTTATTGTTTATCATGTAAAAATAGTTTACACTTGTATACAAATAGTCCATAATCGAGGTTTTTTTGGGTTAGATCTCGTAAATATAAACATGTCGCACAAACCGGCACCACCTGACACAGCCAATTAGCAAGGTTTGTCACGTAAACAGAACGTGGCAATTAGTTACCAGTACAGCACACCGGTGTGTTGGAGAGTAAACCCACAACATTTACAATTCGAGTTTAACAACACGTTGATATTTACACTATCTAACCCAAAAAAACCTCTATTATGGAAAAACATTGGTCGTGACAGCTTCCCACGTGCAATAAAAAGTCGCCATGAATATGGGAAACAAAAGTATTCATAGAGTACACACGAAAGAGACGATAGCCAGTCAGGGACGCTAACGCTCGGGGCACCGTCTGGTAGCCAAACGTTTGCCGTGCAACGTGAACGGCGCTCTAGGCCTCAGCGGTGATGTTGGCAGATCTCGAGCACGTGGTGGGCTAAGGTGCACGGCCTGTACAAAGCGGGACTGGGTATCAACGAGTTGAGTACGTTAGAGAAAGTACTTGGAGCGGCAGGGGGGCGTACATCGGGGTGTTGCCACCGTGTATGCAGGCAGCCGTAACCGAGCCAGGGAAAAAGTAGAGCCGGGATGCTTGGCGGAATCCAGAAGGGGGGAATATTTGGGCGGCAAAGAAGATGAAGCAGATGGAGGAGATGTAGGAGAATGAGGGGTGTAGAGGAACTTGAGGGAAAGTTGCAGAGGATGGTGGTGGAGAGAGACGGTGGGCTGGGGGTCGGGAGAGAAGGCACCACAACCACTACCCAGGTGGTGTGTCGCAGTTGTGGTGGTTGTGCCGCGGTTGTGGTGGTTGTGCCGCGGTTGTTGGTGGTTGTGCAGCGGTTGTGGTGGTTGTGTCGCGGTTGTGGTGGTTGTGCTGCGTTTATGGTGGTTGTGCTGCGGTTGTGGTGGTTGTGCCGCGGTTGTGGTGGTTGTGCTGCGTTTATGGTGGTTGTGCTGCGGTTGTGGTGGTTGTGCCGCGGTTGTGGTGGTTGTGCCACATCTGTTAGTGGTTGTGCCGCGGTTGTGGTGGTTGTGCCGCGGTTGTGGTGGTTGTGCCGCGGTTGTGGTGGTTATGCCGCACCTGAGTGACGGGCGACTTCCTTAGCTCGTCCAGCAGTCGTCTTCCTGAACCCACGGCGAAAACTGGTCGCGTGCCGGTGGTCGGGCGGTCAGAAATTTGGGGGTAGGGCAGGTCAAGGAGCGAGAGGGTTCACACACGCGCACACGGCACACGTTCACACCACAGTAAATGCACACGTGCGCATACACGGGAGTGTGTGTGTACGTGTGGGGAGCGGTGGCGCAGAGGTTAGAGCGATGCCACGCTATGAATCCAGCGACCCGAGTTCAATTTCTGCTCACAGAGCCAGTCCTGGGCCTCCCCAAGGTGAATACCTGGTGCGATGTGGCTTCTCGGCCACAGTCATGCCCTCCCTTTTCTATGCTTGTGAAACTAGGCCTCGGCAAGGTAAGGTAAAAGTTAAAAGGTAAAAACAACGAACCTACCTTTACCTTACCTTTTACCTTACCACAATACAATCACTCTACCCTACCTTTTACCCTTTAGCAGGTAAGGTAAAAGGTAAGAGGTAAAAAGCAACGAGCCTACCTTTTACCCTACCTTTTACCCTTACCCCATACACATTACCCGATTACAGGGTAATTACTGGGGTACTACTACACACGAAAAAGTATTATAACGGTAAATGCTAGGTAGAGCGCTATATTCATATAGAATACTCTCGATTATTCCAATTTTACACGCTTTCTTTGAACTCACTCTGTTGTTATCATTGTTGTTGTCGTTGTCGTCGTTGTCGTAATTGTTGTATCCTCAAATCTTCTAACTCAATTTTGACCCACTTCCTAATGTGGTATCGACTGCAAACTTGGTATACTTATGTCATACTGATGAAATATATAATATCATAAAAAATTAATATATTTGTAAACATTATTTTGTATATGTTATGTTTCGGCTTGGCTCTAATTGTCCACGCTAAACTGACGTTGGCTGTAAATCACCACGGCCCCACACGTTATGGCAAGCTTCGGGGCCACTTCCTGGAGTCGTGGAGTTCTGCCATTACTAGTAACATTCAATAAAAGCGTGTTTTAAAAAAACTTTTTAAAAATATTACTTATTAAATCGAGGCCACGGACTGCGCCACGGAGCTTTTAGCGGTCAACAAGGCACCGTATTTACCGGGTAATACTTCGCGCTTCCTTTACCCTACCGGATAATTCTTCCGAGCTACCTTTACCCTGTTACCCTTTACCTTTCCCCATGGCATGTCGACACCTTTACCTTTACCCTTTTACCCGGTAAAAAGGATAAATTACCTTGCCTTGCCGAGGCCTATAATCCAGCGTGGGTTTAACCAGGCTGGATTGTGTGAGGGGCTCATAAATCCTTGAAATATTTGGACACATTCACATCAGTGAGCTCCTCCAGCAGGCAAGGTTGCATTGGCTGGGTCATGTAGCCCGCATGCCCAGCCACCGCATGCTCAAGCAGCTTCTGCTTCACCACATAGAGGGGGCTAAATGGGTACAACATGGGTGGGAAAAGAGATGGACTGATGCGGTATTGGAGAATGTGGAGCTGAGTGGACTTGCGGAAGACTGGTACCAGCGGTGTCAAGATCAGCCTCTGTGGAGGAGGCTCGTGAAGGAAGTTGCTACTTGGACAGTTGGAGGCAGTCGCCCTCCAACAACAAAGGGAGGGCAGAGGAGCTACACTCACAAGAACGAGCGGAGCGCCGGGCGGCTAAAATGCAGCAAGTTAGCACAGTAGGGGGTACAGCTGATGCATCTACCGGTCATCTCGGTCAGCCAACCCATGGCACCTGGGTCTGTCTCGTGACCCCCTGTCAGCGAGCCTTCGACACTTCACGTGGCCTCAAAGTGCACATGGCCTGGAAGAGGCACCGTGGTGATGTCACCGTCACTTATTAGCGAATGGCGGGTATTGGTATTGGTGTATGCGTGCGTGCGTGTGTGTATGTGCGTGTTTACCCAGCACTCCGGATGCGCTTGTGTCCAGGCCGTGTCCGACCGCCAACCCGAGCGAACGGTAGCGCGGCCCCCTCACTGCCGCCGGCCAATCACAGCGTAGGACACAAACACACGTGCAGCCAATGGGAAGAAACATTACTGCTCACCCATCCTGTCGTCATGGCTACGGGAAAATTGCTCCCCCGCTTGCTTGACTCCCACCGCACGCTCGACCCATTGTTGTTGTGACGGCAGTGATGCTGGTTATTGTTGTAGTTGTTCTGGTGATTGCTGTGGCTGTTGTAGTGACAATTCATGTGATTTTTGAAGTAGTGGTTGTGATAGGTTACGTGGTTTTGATCAGGTGGTTGTTGTGGTTCTTCCTGTGATTGTTGTTATGGCTGGAGTGGAAGAAGTTGTGGTTGTGGTAACATCTGTTCTGTGGTCGTCGTGGTTGTTGGGTTGTTGTACCGAGTGGGTGATCCGCCAGGCTGGGAACCAGGGAAACGGCGAGACTCTGCTCCTCTCCTCTTTCCGTTGCCGTGGTGAAAGTCTCCACTTTCACCAGTTGCCGGGGACCTGGCTGCTTCAGAGCATTGAGCTCTGTCGCCATGACAACAACCGTGCGACGGAAACCAAGGCAACACGCCGTCAGAATTAAATTACTTTGCCGATTATCGGTTCAGTTACTTGGCTAATCGCGTAACATGAACAGAGACATGGGAGACAGTGAGACATATGGAGACGCTGTGAGACACGCGGAGATACGGGGAGGCACGGGGAAACTCGTAGAGACACGGGGGGACACCGAGACACGAAGAAACAACACTGTGAGATACTGTAGGACAGAGACATGGGGATACAAAGAGACTGAGACACACGATATGACACTCGGAGACACTGAGATTCCTCGGGAGTCACGTGGAGACACGATGAGACATGGTGAGAGACACAGGAAGTCACGAAGAGACACAGAGAGACACGGGAGACACGAGAAGACATGGGGAGACAAGGGGAGATACGGAGAGACACAAGGAGATACGGGGAGACACGGGGAGACACGGAGAGACACAGAGCGACACGGGGAGACACGGGGAGATACGGAGAGACACAAGGAGATATGGAGACACGGGGAGACATGGGGAGACACGGGGAGACACGGGGAGATACAGAGACACAAGTAGATATGGGGAGACACAAGGAGACACGGGGAGACACGGAGAGACGCGGGGAATTGCGGGGATACACGGAGAGACACAAGAAGACACGGAGAGGCACGGAGAGACACGGGGAATCGCGGGGAGGCGCTCACCCTGCAGCAGCCGGCTCTCCAGGGTGGAGCGCACCTGGCGCCACGTCACCGCCGCCGGTTTGTAGACGGCGAACACCCCGTGCAGCTCACGCAGCACGCGTGGCCCAGACATCGCGCAAAGCCTGGACAGACAGCATGCACAGACAGCATGCACAGACAGCATTCACACAGCCAACACACAGCACGTATACAGCCTGTACACACAGCACACACACAGCCTGCACACACAGCATGCACACAGTCTGTACACACAGCACGTACAGTCTGTACAGACAGCACACACACAGTCTGTACACACAGCACACACACAACCTGTACAGACTAGCATGTACACACAGCATGTATACAACCTGGCAGACAGCGCAGTCTGTACACACAGCACACACACAGCCTGTACACACAGCACACACACGGTCTGTACACACAGCACACACACGGTCTGTACACACAGCACACACACGGTCTGTACACACAGCACGCACACAGCCTGTACACACAGCACGCACACAGCCTGTACACACAGCACACATAGTCTGTACACACATCACACACACACAGCCTGTACACACAGCACACACACAGTCTGTACACACAGCACACACACAGCCTGTACACACAACACACACACAGCCCACACACAGCCTGTACACACAGCACACACACAGCCTGTACACACAGCACACACACAGCCTGTACACACAGCACACACACAGCCTGTACACACAACACGCACACAGCCTGTACACACAACACACACACAGCCTGTACACACAGCACACACACAGCCTGTACACACAGCACGCACACAGCCTGTATACACAGCACGCACACAGCCTGTACACACAGCACGCACACAGCCTGTACACACAGCACAGCCTGTACACACAGCACATACACAGCCTACACACACAACACAGTCTGTACACACAGCATGCACACGGCCGGTACAGACAGCACGCAGCCAACACACCGCCTGTAAAGACAGCATGCACACACATGTACAGCCAACACGCACCCTGTACACAGCCAACACGCGCCCTGCACTATTACACAGCGCGCGTTGCTGGGATCCACGCCGCTCAAGGGGCCGTCCCTTGCAAACTTCACGCTCGCGCGCGGGGAAGAAAGACAGCGGGACGGCGGGAGACAGCGCGGGGGTGGGGACGGCGGGAGACAGCGGGACCGCGGGAGGGGGACCGCGGGGAGAGCCGCGAGAGAGACCGCGGTGGGGACAGCAGAGTGGCGTGCAACGGGGGGCCACGTGCGCAACGGGCGCAGCCATCTTACCCCGGAAGCGAATGTCTGGTCGCCGCGTTGTGGTGACGTCACCCGCCGGTACTCATTGGCGGAGTCGCGTTAACGACGTCGCGTCCGGCTCGGGTAATTTGACAAGCGATTGCGTCATGGCATACCTCGCGGTGACGTCATACTCTCGTAACTTGTGATGACGCCCCCACCGGGCATGGCAGAAGTGGACCCGCGTCTCGCTTCATATCGATGCCATTCACGATCATCGCGTGTGAAGGAATATTCCGATTAAAGGCGTGCGTATGGGTTCCACGTGGCCACAGCAGCAACCAGAGGCCGATATATATACAGTAGCTGGTAAAATAAAAAGTTTGTTTTTATTTGTATTTTTAAAAAAAGTTAATTGTTTACCTTTCCTCAACTTTGCACTGTGATCGTTTTTTATTGTTTGTTGATGTCACGTTTTGATAAGGCCCCTACTGGACATGTGAAAAAGAGATTTATAGCTAATCGGATTCCTTCTCCTGTGGTGGCGAGATGTTTTCTCCCTCGCCTGGTATGCAGGAGGTCGTGGGTTCCATCACGACCCGGACGCCTGCTGCTGCTGCTGTATATTTGGAGTTTCCAAGTTCTCCCCATGGTCGCGTGGATTTTGGAAATTGCATAGCTGCTGCTATACATTTCCACGTGATGACAAGCCACTAAGTTGAGCTATTATTTGTGGCCAGTCTCTTGTGAAAAAACAAGCTAAGAGCTCAGTTGGCTTTACCTGGTAAAATAAATTCAAGTAACCATTCATTTTTACAATGTTATGAAAGTTAAACGATTATTTTAAACCAACCCGAATCGCGATAGTTGAGGTAACAATGTCAAATGTAACATTGTCTAATGCTGTCCGGTTCTGATGTTACTCTGCACCGACGTTGGCAGTGAGCGGGAATCAAACCCGGAGTGGCCAGGTTCGTAGCCGTGTGCTGGCCACCGCGCCACAACTCCTCGTCTAAACCCCATACCAATTAAAACAGAGGAACACCAATTACAGGGCGTCCTCGATTTACGAACATTATTCGTCCCTGGGACCCGTTCGTAAGTCGTACGGCTCGTTAATCGGAAAACAATGTAGTGTATGATGTTACTCTGCACCGACGTTGGCAGTGAGCGGGAATCAAACCCGGTTCTGATGTTACTCTGCACCGACGTTGGCAGTGAGCGGGAATCAAACCCGGAGTGGCCAGGTTCGTAGCCGTGTGCTGGCCACCGCGCCACAACTCCTCGTCTAAACCCCATACCAATTAAAACAGAGGAACACCAATTACAGGGCGTCCTCGATTTACGAACATTATTCGTCCCTGGGACCCGTTCGTAAGTCGTACGGCTCGTTAATCGGAAAACAATGTAGTGTAAATTTCTATTTTACCAGGTTAAGCCCACTGAGCAATTTCGCTCTTTTTTTATATGCGACAAATGATAGCTCAATGAGTCGCATATCATATGTAAATGTTAGCAGCCAAATACTCTAAGCCAGGGGTCCTCAAACTTTTTAAACAGGGGGCCAGTTCACTGTCCCTCAGACCGTTGGAGGGCCGGACTATAGTTAAAAAAACTATGAACAAATTCCTATGCACACTGCATATATCTTATTTTGAAGTGAAGAAACAAAACGGGAACAAATACAATATTTAAAATGAAGAACAAGTAAAGTTAAATCAACAAACTTTCCAGTATTTCAATGGGAACTATGGGCCTGCTTTTGGCTAATGAGATGGTCAATGTCCGGTTCCATATTTGTCACTGCTAGTCGTAACAAGTGATGCAAGTGTGTATCCGTTAGTCTAGATCTGGTTGGAGATTTCAAATGTTTCATTCTGGTACAAGTCTGTTCACAGACATAAGTGCTGCCAAAGATGGTTGCCATTTTGAGTGCATGGTTCCTGAGATGAGGATATGTCTCAGAGGGGAGAGATGCATAGAAATTATGAAGGCTGCTTGACTTGAATGCGTCTTTCAGAGAGTCACAATTCTGCAGTTCAGCCAGTTCCATTTGGTAAATTGTATCCACATTTTCAATGTCAATAGAAAATGGGTTACGGAAAAGCTGTATGTCCTGTTCATGGAGATGAAGCTCTTTAAATCTAAATTGGAACTCCTTTTGCAATTTTTCCAATGAATCCACACATGTTTTGTTTGGGAATGCAACCAATGGTTTTTCTGCTAACAGATTTTGAGTTGTGGGGAGATGGCAGAAGTTTTCCTCCTTCACTTGTTTGATGAGGAGACCTAATTTTACTTCAAATGCTTTGACATGTGATTGCATATCACAGATGAGCTTCCCCTTTTCTTGAAGTTGCACATTGAAACTGTTGAGTAGCTCTGTTACATCTGTCATAAAGGCAAGGTGCCATTTCCATTCTGCATCATTGAGCTCTGGTACTTCTTTGTTTTTTGAAAGCAGAAAAGCTGTAATCTGTGGAAGTAAGTCATAGAAAGGTTTCAAAACTCTCCCTCGACTCAGCCAACGGACTTCTGTGTGGTACAGAACATCTTCATAGTCAACATTTAGCTCAGACAGAAATTCCTGAAATTGTCTGTGGTTTAGTGCATGAGCTCTAATGAAGTTAACACAAGATACCACAATTTTCATAACAGAGTCCCACTTCAGTGATTTACTACACAGCGCTTGTTGGTGGATGAGGCAGTGTATGGCTATTGGATGAGAATGGTTATGTTTGTCCATCTCTTGGTTAATGCGAGCAATTACTCCTTTCTTAGACCCCACCATGCTAGGAGCACCATCAGTTGTCACACTGGCTAGTTTAGCCCAGTTCAGCTCCAAACCATTCACAGTTTGGCAAACCTTTTCATAGATATCCTCTCCTGTAGTTGTTCCTTTGATGCTTTGCAGTGCAGCAAGCTCTTCTGTGACTTCGAAATAGTCATTCGTCCCACGAATAAAAATTAAAAGTTGTGCAGAATCACGAACATCATTGCTTTCGTCGAGTGCCAACGAAAAATAGGAAAGTTTTTTTGTGGAGTTTTGCAAATGCTGATGCAAATTGTCTCCCATTTCTTCAATCCTCCGTGTAATTGTAGGTCCTGAAAGACTCACTGTACTAAATAAATCGGCCTTCTCTGGACACATCTCTTTGGCAACAGAAAGAAGGCATTCTTTAACAAATTCTCCCTCCACGAATGGTCTGCCAGTGCACGCTATTAGCTTGGCAACTTGAAAACTTGCTCGCAGTGATGAAATATTTAGCTGCTTCTGCTTCACAAAAGTATTTTGCTGAGTTGTTAATGTATTTTATCTTTTCTCACTTCTCCGACCAAACAATCATATTTATCTTTATGTTGAGTTTCATAGTGTCGACGTAAATTGTATTCTTTGAACACAGACACTATATTCTGGCATATCAGACACACAGCTCTTTCCTTGTACTGCATGAAAAAGTAATCATAAGTCCACTGTTCTTTGAATATCCTACACTCCGAGTGCATTTTTATCTTTCTTGACATCATTGTTTCCTAGGGAGTCAAAATTGATATTAGTAAAATACCAATATATATACAGCGCTACAAAAACAATATACCAGCAATAACTTTGCCCGCACAGAGACATACTGTACAGACTGTACTGCCCATCAATGCAGTCTGATTGGGGGGAACTCCGCCCCCTCTCCCTCTTCCACCAATGACCGTCCTTCTCATGCAGAAAAAAAGTAACAGACAGGCAGCGGCGGCAAAAACACCCGGCGGGCCGGATAAATGTCCTCGGCGGGCCGCATGTGGCCCGCGGGCCGTAGTTTGAGGACCCCTGCTCTAAGCGCATGTTTCTACATGTGAAGGGAAAAAGTGGAGAGCCCGGAGAAAAATCCATGCGACTCCAGGGATAACATGCAAACGCCAAATATACAGGCGTCAGGGTCGGGATCAAATCCACGACCTCCTGTAGACTGGGCGAGGTAGTTAACATCTCACTACCACGGTGCATATTTAAATTCCCACATTCCCTCCCAGCGTGAGGCCGTCTCATTTACATTTTGTGGAGGATCGCTCAGCTGAACAAAATAGTTCCACGGTTGAATTCGCAAGTGCGTTTTAAGTCGACGTAGAAAATAATTAATATTTCATGGAATGCTGGTTCACAAGTGCGTGTGATTGTAAGTGCGGGTGATCCCAAGTGCGGGTGATAGTAAGTCGAGGACTGCATGCATCTCATCAGTGAACACATTATTTGGTCTTGCTAACCCTCCGTGTCAATACCACGGTGGCCTTAAAATTAATATGTAACAGGTGACATTTCAGGCAATGGCCCTTCTTCACAGTCCATGCATTCCTTCTGCACTTCCAGTTCGCGAGAGCAGCAAACTCTCAACCTTTTCTGGCTACTGTGTAACCCCCTTGTTGAATTTAGTTTCAATCGAGTACTGTAACTCCTTGCCTGACCCAACACGGTTCTGAGAAATAAGTATATAAATTAACGTCAATATTTTAAACACCTGTCCATTTAGTTAAGTATCCTAACTAGCTAAATAACGGGCGCTCTGCATGCGTGAAGTAATTTGTTCACGCTCGCCGGTTACTCTTGGAAACCAACATTGCTTACGATCATTGAGTTTAGAAAGGTCCTTTGATATCGATCTAGGTTACCATATTGATTGAAACTGTTATTTTTATATTGGCAGATTCATCATACGTGATTATCACCAATGACTCTCACGTACAATATAATTTCACACATTTATAAATAACCTAATGGTAACCTTCAGTTAACCAGAGTTCGACCACCCAACCTGTTAATGATGTGCGCAGATTTAAAATCACTCATCTCCATATGCGGTGGGGTCTTGTAGTTTTCTCTTTATTTAAGAAATTACAAACCATTCGACGAAGAAATCCGTCCCGCAGCGCCTACAAACTGCGTCATCAGTACAGTCGCCCATCCTGCACGTGTCCCACCCATCACCACCTGCTCTTCCTGATGGCACATCATTATGGAATGTAGTGCTTAAGAAGTAAGATATGCAAGTCACTGGAATTGGAATGATTCGCTCCCCCCTGAACCCGACCTGACAAC